ACTACTGTTGGTTCCTCCAAAGCCGAAACTGTTGGTCAGTGCCACATCTATCTGGCGCTCTTGAGTCTGATTCGGGGCGTAGTTGCAGTCGAATCCGATGGCGAGATGCTCAAGGTTAATAGTAGGAGGCATTTTATTCTGATACAGCAAATTAGAGTATTTCCATAGCACAGATAGTGACACTTACCTCATGAATAGCAAGGATGGTGAACAGGGCCTCCACGGCGCCAGCACCGCCTAATAAGTGACCCACAGCGCCCTTGGTGCTGCTGATGTTTATATCCCCTGCATTGCGCTTTCCGTCAGGCCCAAGAAGGAGTGCCTTGATCGCGGCATTTTCTGCCGCATCTCCGACTACAGTCGAAGTGGCGTGTGCATTAACGTAGTCAACCATAGACGGTGAAAGACCGGCATTCTTCAGAGCCTTTCTCATTGCCATGAATGCCCCTTCGCCGTTTTCTTTGGGCGCTGTTATATGATGTGCATCACCTGAACAGCCATATCCTCTCAACTCGGCATAGATACGTGCGCCTCTTGCCTTTGCATGTTCTAGCTCCTAGTTAGAAGTTAGCACTGTGAATTAATATAAGATGCGATGCTAAGTACCTCTAAAATAACTATTGCCGCGCCCTCACCGACCACAAACCCTTCGCGATCCGCATCGAAAGGTCTGGACGCCTTCTCCGGATCATCATTATAGCTCGTTGCGAGGCTCCGTGCCCGAGCAAAGCCTCCAACAGCTAGCGGATGGATGCAAGATTCAGCGCCGCCAGCTAACATCACGTTCGCATCACCGCAGGCGATAAAGCGAGCAGCATCACCGATGGAATGTGCTCCAGTAGTGCATGCAGTTGTAGCCGCGTGGTTTGGACCCTGTCGAACCATTAGCAGTGGTAAAAACGCAGATTAGGATTAGCCATACCATCAATCCATACTTCATGGAGATATGACCAGCGCCGAGATTGATGAGCAGCTTCGGGACAAATAAAGGTGACACCTTTCTGTAGCCCTAGAAGGAGTTAATACAGATGTAATGGCGATACAAAACTCGTTTGCGACATACTCCTTTTTCATATGCCACGACTGTGTCGTAGATCTCATCGAAGTTGCCAATTCCGGATCCGAGACAGATGCCCTACGCGGCCATCAGTATTTTCGAGATACATGATGTCTTGTAGACGTCTACCGTAGATTCTCTCTGCTCAAACGAAGTGGGCTTCCAACATGCATCTTCAAGAGCCTCTTCCGAAGCAGCCAAAGCATACTGGGCGAAACGCGCCATCTTACGCTCTTCCTATTAATGGTATCAGATCTGCTCTTCTCTCGAAGACCATACAAATATAGAAAAACAAGAGACGTTGCACATACATCCTTACTTAGCCATTCTGAGGCAGTCCAGCCACCATTCTGCCTCTTGCCATTCGGCACTGGAGCGGCAATCTGACATGGTAAGTCGGAGAATCTGGAATCACGATGGTTGACATTAACAATGCCGCAGTGACCATCTAACAGACGTTTCCATGTGCGACGGATACCTAGAATGACTGTACTTTAGCTATCCGCGCATAATAAGCCCGAGAATTGGAATCATCGTGTGGACTGCAGGTGTCTCTTTCTAACTTCCTAACTAGGAATGTCCGTGGCGATTGTACCCGGTATCCAAGACTTTCCCCTTTCGGAAATATCGGAAGTGGAGACAAATCCGAGCGAGACTTTCAAGTAAACACTGAAGAATCACGACAAAAGAACAAGCTTATAGCCACGGACCAAAGGGAATTTTGGATAGAACAGTGTGCTTGGACATCTGTATAGCAAAGATATAGAACAACTTACCTACTCCCAAAGGAGTAACAGCTCCTAAACCCGTCACGACAACACGACGCATGGCATCCTGAGGTTCTCAAGACGAGATTCGAATATGATCGGCTTCGATTGGATTCTACAAGCTCTGAGTCAAGCAGCGATCTATGGAAGATCGGACCGATATAAATGCGGAGAACGAAAAGAGGAAGAGCGAGCGATGGACGTTGGAAACATGGAACTAAAAGAAAAGTGACCAGAAGGGAAAGTCCGCACGATACTCCGCGCGCCTGAGGCCTCAAGGCCCACTTTTTGGCGCCAAATGAATGGACGGTTTGTTCCTATCGATAACGCTTTCACAATCTCCATACTATCTATGCGCCTATAACTACTAGAGAACTTTCCCCAGATTCAATTCCTCTTCTCTGTACTTTTCAAGCACCCCTTCGACTTATTTTGTCTTTCCCGTGGCACCTTACAATTCATAATGAAGTATACCCTGGGGTTGCTGGCTCTAGCCGGCACTGCCTTATCTCACGCCCATCACGACGACTCTGAAGTGGTTCCCGAGCACTTGCGTGAGGAGCTGTTGAAGAAATGGGATCAAGAGGTACGCATGTGGCTCTACCTTACATAGTGGCAAACCTGACTGATAAATCCCAGTGGTCATTTTCTGGCATTGCTAGCTTTGCGCACCTAAAACCAGTCAAATGCTTAATCGAACCAGATGAGCGATATGATATTGCCGTCATCGGAGCTCCCTTCGATACTGCTGTCAGTTACAGACCAGGTATGCACTCCGACTTACCTCCATTAAACGCAGAGGCTAACCTTGGCCTCCAGGAGCTCGTTTTGGTCCCCGTTCCATTCGTGCTGCCAGTGCTCGCCAGATGGCCGGCACAGCTTACAACACCCGTGCGGGCATCAACCCCTACAGCTCGTGGGCCACCGTTAAGGACTGCGGGGATATTCCTATCATTCCTTTCGACAATGGTGTAGCGGAGCGTCAAATGTACGAAGCCTTCCTTGAGCTAGGCTCACGACCTCCCGTTACTCCTGCCGACTCCAAGTACGGCACTAAGGGCATCTCCACCGGAAAGGCGAAGCTGGTCACCCTAGGAGGAGATCACAGTGTTGCACTACCGGCTCTCCGTGCCCTGTACCAGATCTACAAGAAGCCCATCACAGTGTTGCACTTCGATGCGCACTTGGACACCTGGAACCCCGTTCGCTACTCAGCATACTGGACATCGGAACAGTCAGCGTTTAACCACGGCAGTTTCTTCCACAAGGCGAGCCGTGAGGGTCTCATTTGCAACTCAACCTCTGCTCATGCCGGTCTGCGCACCCGTTTGACGGGTGTCACCGATAGCGACTACACCAACCCGGGCCCCGAGCAGGGATTCATGCGCATCCATGCTGACGACATTGACGACATAGGCCCCATGGGCATCGTGGATAAGATCATTGAGCGCATTGGTCTGGATTCGGAGCAACCCGTGTATCTGTCTGTGGATATCGACGTGCTTGACCCCTCGACTGCCCCCGGAACCGGTACCCCTGAGCCTGGTGGCTGGACCACCCGTGAGTTCATTCGAATCATGCGCGGTCTTGAGAAATTGAACATTGTCGGTGCGGATATCGTCGAGGTATCCCCAAGCTACGACAATAAGGGAGAAACTACCGCTCTCGCGGCTGCCCAGGTGGCCTATGAGATAATCACTAGCATGGTCAAGGCGGGAGCTGGCGAAGAATTGGGAGGATGGTATGGACGCAAGGAAGAGAAGAAGAGGGAAGGCAAAGACGAGCTGTAAACCAGATACTATGACGCTACAAATGAGTTATGTTTGATGTACAAACAGGTGGAGTTAGTAATAAAGAACATACAAAATGCCTGATGGACCATACTGGAGAAAGTGTCCTATGTGCCTATTCAGTACTACAAGCAGCCATCAACCTAGTGAAAGGGTTCAGCAAGATATAGACAAGAATATCACATTCCCTAATGATTGCGATTACAGATTCACTCCCACAACACAACACACTCCTCAATAACATCTGATCTCCCTTATTTCTGTATATCCAGCCAGAAACAAATCACCTCTCCACTCACCATCATCTCTGACAGATGATGACGAGCGTATTCTGAGCTCAGAATAAATGACTGGGCTGATCTCTTTCAGGTCTTAGCCGAGACATTTCCCTTTCTAGACAGATGCGGACTCAACCATGTTACCAGGTGGAATAGAGTCGGCTTGGATTGACTAGAACTTGTCGAGAAACCCATATGCTGGGCAGACACCCATAGTCTGGAGGCATCAGTGGCAGAAGGTGGAGGGTATCATGTTTTTTTTTTTTTTACAAATAGATATGAGAACTTGCATGGACATGTTTGAAATAACCTCGAACGATTTTATGAGCCAGTCACAACAAGTCAAAACATTGGACCGATCATAAGTCCCGACTGGATAACATCCACATTCTCTTTTCCAAGCTGACACTAGTGGCTATTGGTAGTTGGAGCGTGCGACAAATAATGACAATCTTCATTACATTGGACCTGATTACGCCATGGTCTGTGAGTACCAAAGCCTTGGTGGTCACTGATGTATCTGCGCTATCTAGTTCAAGACTGTAACATGACAATGATAAAATGGCACAGCAATGTGACAGAAGGTGCGGACGTGACAACAAATCGCGAATATAAAGAAACAGATCAATACCATCAGCCAGCCAAAACAAGACGCCTCGACTTCCAACGCCGATAGAGACGATGAGTGGTAATAGAGAATCGAAGATGGACAAAGGAAGAGAAGAAAGGGACAGAAAATGAGAAGGCAGGAGGAGAGGGTAAGGGGAATATGGCAAAGGCAAGCCGGCTGAAAGATGAAGGTAAAGCGGTTCGGTTCGTCGATAGTCTCCGCGGCAGAGTTGGGAGGTCAAATTTTCCCAGGGTATATCGGATCAATGAATGCCATAAATTGGGCAACGAAAGAATACGAGGATGGCAATCATTAGAAATATCGTCTCGAGATTGGGTAACAGATGGCAATCGACTCATGAGCTGTGACCCTTGATATCCATAGCAGTTTAGTTTTATGCGCTTCAAAACCTCGATCTTCCCGAAATATGCGATGTAGCTAGGATACATCAGTAACATGGTCTGGGTAACAGTTGGAGGAAACTAACCCTGCTCTAGAAAGATGTGTGTTCGGTTACAACAAAACGCACTTCTTCGACTTCTTAGGAGCAGGCTCGAGGGCGGCAACAATTGCCTGGTTCATTCCGTCAGTATACAATACAAGCAGCAGAGCCAACAGCGTTGACCCGACTCACCTCGTCAAAAACATCCTTGAGTTTATATTGAGTTAGAGCGGAGCATTCGACATATTTCACGGCGCCCAATTCCTTGGCCATCCGGTCTCCATCTTCCTTACGAATGGGCTGCATCTTCTGGCGGGAGAGCTTTTCGCGGACAGCGGGATCGTCGCGCAAATCAGTCTGGGTGCCCACGATCAGGCAGGGGACACCAGGACAATGGTGGTGAACTTCGGGGAACCATTTTTCGCGCACGTTCTCGAAGGAGGCGGGGGACGTCACGGAGAAGCAGACCAAGAAAACGTCGGTCTGGGGGTATGAAAGGGGACGAAGACGGTCATAATCCTCCTGACCAGCAGTATCGAAAAGTCCCAGAGTGTACGGTTCATCGCCAATCCTATGGAGGCGTCGGGTTAGTCAATTGATTGCGAGAGGTTGACAAATCCGGTGGATGGATCCAACGACGCGTTATCAAGGCTACTGTCTGTCGGAACATATCACAGGAGCGAACACTCCGGGAAACTCGTTGCGCCTGTCGCGGCTCGAAGCAATCGGGTTCACTTACATGACAGTGACAGCATAGTTATCAAAAACAGTAGGAACATATTCCGAAGGGAACTTGTTTGTTGTGTACGAAATCAGGAGACATGTTTTGCCCACAGCACCGTCACCGACGACAACACACCTGACGAAGAGAGATAACCGTGGTTAGCAAATCGCTGGTTGATAATGGAACCAATCTTGGTAAGAAGGGTCCCGACGTGCGGCATCAGAAAGGGGGGCAAGTCGGCGAGGGGGAGGAGCGAGGCAATGAGAATGGTGGTTAAAAAGGAGCCAGTAAACGTACTTGATAGTGGCGACAACCATATTGTATACCTGGAACTACCTGAGGCTCTGCAAAGTGACTGTGCAGATAATCTTCCAAAGGTGTCTAGACCCGAGGTGACGAGGAAATGAAAGGAGAAAGATGCGGTGAAGAGAATAGGGAGAGGTGTGAGGAGGAGCCGATTGCTGAATGGTTGTGGGGAGAGGATATAGAAAAGGGAGAGATGGGGGATTACAGGAGGCGCTGGATGAGAATGGCAGCAGCCAGAAGTTACGGCGGTTGGTGTGTGGTGAATGTCGACGGTGAAGGGTTGGTGGACGTAACCAATGTGGGAGGCGGCAGAGGTGGAGGACGATAGGACCGTAGCACTAGTTCGGAGAGTACCTTTAGGTAGAAAGAAAGAAAGCTGCCATGGATGGGGCAACCCGCACCGTTAGCTCACGTCGGCCTATTTGTCTAGACACTGCGACTAGCACGTTTTCATTGGGGACTGTATCAACAGACAGGCAGAAATCATTCTGGGAACATGAATCGAGAAATAATAAATTAAAATAAAAAGAAAAGCAAGAAAGGAAAAAGCAAAATGACCACAAAAATTAAAGAAACAAATTCTGAAAAATATAAACAGTAGATTCACAAACCTTGTAATTCCCTTTTTTCTTTTTCTTTTCTTTTTTTTTTTCCTTCTTTTCTTCTAGTTATATACCTGAGGGGGGAAATGTCCAAACCAACGGAGAAATCGCACGGATCAATTCCGGGGAAGGCCTTTGATATCGCTGAAGCACTTTGTACTCCTTTTACCCTCCCAGTTTCTCTATTCTCTGCTCTTAGAAAACTTGAGAAAAAGAGACGAAATTTATTTTGGAACGGCGAAAGGAGGGGGAGAAATGGAGGGGCCGCGGCAAAACACCCTAGGAGGGTAGAGTAGGAAATATCTACTCCGTAATGATATGATAGACGCAACACGCCACCACCGAGGGCTAAAGTCCAAGACGATGAGATCCAATCGAGGGACTACGGACTCAATTCAACTGTATCAGGAATGAAGGGGATGGGAGAAGTGGGAAGAAACCTGAGAGAACAACAGCCAACTCGAGGTATAATGGTATTCAAACCTTAGGCATGAAAGTGTCACTGTCACAGTCCAATCATCGACTGGCGGTAAATGCACCAGTCCAGTTAGTAACCATCACATACCGCTGTTCATTAAGGTAAATGAACGGTACCACGTATGAATCCTACTCCATTCTTCAAGCACCTGTATTACATGACTCGATGATATCACCTTTTGCTAATGACTGTCATGTATCGGAAATATGGCTGCTTGACGCCGCCATCCATAGTTCCCCTTTGAATTCACCTTTTTGTTACCCCTCTCCACCTCTTTGAACTATCCATGATACGTATACTACCATCCGCATCCGTTTGGCGAGAGGTTTACAAAGAAAAACATCAAAAGAAAGCACGTGCATTGCAACGTTTCATCTAAGTCTAGTCATAATCTCATAACGTCTATATAAACTCCTAAAGGGACTTCTAAAGTAGTCGCTGACTCGAAATATGTACGGCTCTGTGGAAAACATAGCGACTTGATATGCTGAAACCCGCTTACCCGCAGGATGAGAGAGCATAATGCTGGTCGACTCACATACCCAATAACAAGAAATCAGCGCCCCGGCGCTTCTAGCCGGAGATGCGGCAGACGCGTATGCGCATAACCTTGTATGGACACGTCACATAGTGCTTGATTCGGGATCGGGCCGGATGGGACATCCGCATAATCTCGTATCCTCTTCGGTGGCAGTATGTAGGGGCTCAAACGCCCTGTACAAGATGACAGGCAACAATCATGGTAGATTGTCCCATCTGCCAAATATATTAGTGGTATCCCTGGACACGTATCGAAGAATGTTGGAGAGACTGGAAGTATTCGGGACCACCTCACGGTTGTTTCGAGTGTCCTTCTGATTCGGATTCGTTTTCCAATAGGCCTTGTCCATTGTCTGGAACTGGATGGCCCCCGTTAGGCCCATCCACTGGTTCGGAATTGACTTTGTCCAACCTATAATTCTTCATAAAAAGACTCAAGGGGATCAATGGTATCGTCGCGATCAGCGCTAACACCAACAGCTTATTCATAGTCTCTTGATAAGATCGATTGATGGCAATTCTAGCCGGTGACCCTATAGGGAAAGATAGTGCCTTGTCCAATCTCCCAAATATTTCTTTAGCATCCCCCTTATTCTCATCAGGGAGGTAACGCCGCAACTTCCGCGGAATGTTGTGCGTCCAGACGGCCCCCGAGATCGCGGCGCCAACTGCACCACCCATCTCCATAGATGTCAAAAACATTGCCGTAGCAGCCGCAACCTCCTGATGGCTAGCGGACGCCTGAACTCCCAGCTGAACAGGCACGTTGAGGAGGCCGCCTCCCATACCCACCACAATCTGTGTCCCAAGAATTAGCGTTGATGAGCTCCCTTCTTTGCGGTAAAGCATCATCAAAAGAAGACCAATCATGTAGATCGCGCTTCCAATGGTCACAAATATTCGATAGCGTCGTGTGTATTTGATCAATAAGGACACTGAGAAAGCAGCAATGGTCGACGTAAACGCAAACGTCTGTGTCACACGGCCAGCCGTAGCGACATCATATCCTTGGACCACTTGAAGATAAGAGTAAAGATACGGTTGAACCGAAAAATAGAATGCCACTGGATGATGTTAGGAGGAAAGAAACGTACGAGTACGGTAGTGGGGGGTAACCTACTGAAGTACCAAAAAGCTAAAGCGCAGCCAGCGAGTGCTGTGCGTTGTCTGAGAAGGTGTAGGGAGAGAAGTGGTTTAGGGGCAAATCTTTTCGAAGTCTCCCAAAGTGGCAGCGCCAGTAAACAAACTATACCAACCGCAATCATTGCGAGGATGCTGTCGTTCTTCCAGCCGTCTTTAGCATTGGCGGCAAGAGTGAGAGGCACCAAGATCAATGTAACTGCCGCCGAAAGAAGTATCAAACCAAACATGTCCAAATCGTACCACGTGCGGCGGACAACAGCGATGAAGCCACCCCGAGGGGTGTGCTTTTGCTTGATGAGGTTTAGTCTTTTAGCCTTGCGTTGATTCAACAATAACGTCAACGCTAACGGAAGAAACGAAGCAGGCAAAATGATTGACCACATCCCGTAACCCCAACGCCATGACGAATGGTGTATCACTGCATCAGCTATTGCTGGTCCAATCCAAACTGTAACCAGAAACGGAAACTCTGGCAAGAGCGCAAGAAATGCCCTGTTGAGAAGGCTACTGCTGTCCGCAATGAACACTTGTTGGAGGATCTGCAAACCCGTCGAACCGGCGGAATAGAATATCTGAGCCGATGCATAAGTTTGGACATTGGTCGAAGCAGCCATTTGTATATAACCAAGAACATATATCAAAATGCACACGCAGAACGCTTCGAAGCGACCGAAGACATCGGCTATCTTAGCCATGGGAGGCTTGATCACAGCTGCATACTTGTCAGCTGGCGGAGAATAAACCGCATAATGTAAGACTACCCACCATTGACGACATTCTGGACAACAAGAACAGTTGAAATCAATGAGTGCTTGCTAAATGCGCTGGTTGCATAAGCAGAGAGGGATGTGGTGGTCTGGCCCTCTAAAGAAGTACAAAACGCCATAAGGAAAATACTATAGCAAGTCAGTGAGACCAGACCACTTTCATCAAGAACACAACCATGCTGTACATGGCAGGCATACCTGACATAAGCCACAACCAAAGACTTTGTTGTCCAGGTCAAGCTGATGGCTTCAATCTTCCGAACCCCTTCCTGCACCGAGTCATCAGATGTTATCTCGCTACCGTGGTCATCGCTTTCGTATCCCGCGGGAAGGAGGTGCTCTCCTTCGTGCTGATCGCGCCTCTCCATTTGATCGAGTGTGCCATATGAGGGACCTGAGTGGGCGTCAAGTAAGGGCATCGCGGCTGAGCCGAGAACGTCACTGAAGAATCTTGGACAACAGCACCGCGAGTAATGTCCATTTATCGGATACGACAGCCGAGGCGGTAGTGACGTCCGGTGGAGGCACGAAGGTGAAACGACACTGAAAGTTTCACAATCGAAGGACCCGGGTTCGAAAGGGTTGGTGTATAGGCCGAAATACTTGAGTTGATGAGGGAAGATATGGACGATCTGAACCAGCCAGACCCAGAAAATGCAACACGCGACTAGTCAAATGAGGGTATCTCAGGGGAATGGAAAATGTACCAGGGGAAGGATTATTGAAAAAAGAAAAACGAAGAACAAAAAACCCCAAGGAGAATTGAAGAACAGTTAAGTGAGACGTCAGGTTGGGTATCGGATTCGCAAGTTCGTTAGGTAACTGATACGGATGACGGCACGCGAATCGTCAGATCTATCGTACAAAGGGGCAGAGCTCTAAGCAGGACTCTAAACCCGGCGTGCTTCAGACCAATCGACTCGATCGACAAGGGACACTTATGCACGCGACGTGGGATGGGCCACAGGTTTAGCCTATGGGCCGAACGCCCGAGGCCCAAAATGGTAGGGCGGTTTCCGGTGTACTGAAGGGTTGGTAAAGTGATGCCTATAATATTCCACTTGATATAATTCGAATGAATTTGGAAAGCCTCACTCGAGACGGCGGAGTCGTGGCAGAGCTTATCCCTCGGACTCGAGCACACATTGACCCCTCAGTCATAGATGTGAGCGCACGGAGCAGTACAGGACAGGCGTATCGCGCAGTTGTCCTCTGTCTGTGTACTCAAGCGCAGAGGATCAATGTAAGTTCGAGACTGATCAGGGGAAGAAAACTAGATTGCAGCCGAAAATGGTGAAGAAGTGGGGAGGAAGTGGCAAAGCGACCAGGATGAGGGATGTTACGCAGGTGGATAAGACTTTTGAGAATCAGATATGATAAGATCACCTGGTTCGGTCCGAACGGAAGCTACGGATTCCTATAGGTTGGCTCCTTACCCTGCATTGGGACATCAGTCGGATGTGGAATGATTGCAATGATATTTAATTCCCCATTGAAGGTCTCATGTATGGGGGAATATCAACATATAAAATACCATTCTGTCTGTGTTTGGGTTGTCACTTCTTCTTGGAAAAGACAGTCAGCTGATGAATCACTCTGGAATGAAAGCTCCTCCGCCATTCCTCCCCCTTGCAGCACTCGAGAAATACTGAGTCGGACTTTATTGGTCTTTCTGGAATAGTTCGCATGACTAGGTCCAGTGAGTCAAAACGGCCAAGAAGTAGGAATGGTACCAATATTACTTCGTATACAGCCCCTATTCAACTATATTGGACGTAATATAATGATCATGGATCTCTCTGAGCAGAGAATGGCCTAAAGCCCCACGGTCCAGTCTCATGATTGGGGGAGATGACATCGGGTCATACCGCTCAAGGATCATCCAACTAAACAACTCATGTCATGTCTTTTTCCCTTTTTTTTTTCTTTTTTTTTTCTTTTTTTTCTCTCTCTCTCTCTCATTTATTTTATTCATTTGTCTTTATTTTTATTTTTAAAACCCCTCCTTTTCTTTTCGTATTTCTCCCCCCACTCTTTCGACTTCTCCATCCGAAGAACCGGTCCTTGGTATGAGTCAGTCTGAGGAATAGCCACTCGAGATAGACCAGGAATATCCTCGTAATCATGTCAGGATCCATGATATTGAACTATGTTCCGATTTCCACCAGAAGCCGCGACTACCGCGAGCTGAACGGAACTTGTTTTCTTTTCCGTTCCTTTCTGCCGAAGTTAAAATAAAATCTCCACTTACTCCTACAACTAGTGTCTTGTCCACCCAGTCAACACGGATTTTGAGGTTGCTAGGTAGGGAGGGAATCAAATAAATAAAAGAAAGGAAAAGAATACAGAGTAGAAAAAAGAAGGGGAAAAAAGCAAATACCAAAGGGCCACTCAGCTCGTACGAACAACTCGGTGGGTTCGCTGAATTAGTTAGTAGATTGTTTGTGCTAAGTATTGTTGCTTCCACGTAAGTTATATGCCTAACAGTGGTACTAAGTTGACAGCAGTCAGGTATAATCCCTGATATACAAGTTTTATGGAGTGACTTGTCGGTTATCCATCGACTCTGTATACCTTTCTTTTGTCCCAAGTCTTTCATTCCCCTACGATATTACTCTAGCTATAGGTAGATCTACCAGTTATCAGTACTCGTATACTATGTGAGCTTACGACAGACATGTCGTGTGCTACCGAGCATTTCGCCTGGGCGTAGACTAAGTTGAAGTGTCTGTAGTCTAAGTACTGAGAAGTCTTATAAAATTAGCTAGGTAATGCTGGATAGAAGCCAATATCTTGATTTCAAATAGAGCTAGTGCATATGAAAATTCTGGTACTTCTGCATAATAAAACTCAGTTGTATATCCTTTGATTTCTCACATATCCAGGTTTCTGGTGAAACCATGTGGCTGAACTTTCAATTTAAAAAATGACTGATCATAGCATCTTACTTCAACCTTGGACAATGCAGGTACATATACCTTACTAGCAAAAGTAGTGCGCCGCATCAGATCCAGGCTCGCAAATCAATATACATCAACAGATCTTATAAATACAAGATATCATTTCTTACTCGAAACCCCATGATTTTCTCAGGTCGGTCGCACGGTCAGAAGTCTTCCATCCCGTCTCACGCTCAATGCGACCCAAGTGCTTGAGAAGCAATATCTTCTCGGCGGCGAACTCTTCCACTGAACATGCACTGCGACTATTCTGGTCGCCAGGGGAATTGGATGAAGACAGTCCAGGACGTACCTCTGACCAAACATATGACCACCCTGACTGCTGTGTATAACAACTTTGGGAACCCGCGAGAACGGTGCCTGCGATGTATAAAGGTTGTAGTTGACACACCCCATTCGTACTAGTTGACCTTGACGTTGTTTTTATATCTTCTGTTGCTATTCGTCTCTCTAGCCAGGGTGTGATCCTTCTTATACTCTGCTAGGCAGTGGCGGATGGAAGGAAAGTAAAAGCCTTGGAGAGGTCGAAACAGGCCACCGCTTACTGTGACACATTCGAAATGGATATTCCCATCTGTTCTCGAACGTGCTAAATGGGGTCGATCTTGAAGCAAATAGTCAGATACCATCCTTAGTACCTCCAAATGAGCAAACGGCTCCTCCCCCTTAGCAGATACACCAGCGTTCGTATACATGGTATTGAAGAGGGCGAGAAGAAACTTAGTAGCAAGCAGCTTCGTATACTTACCGTCTGAGCCATGCGGGCCTGCACTGCTGTTGTAATAAGCCCTTCCTGCAGTAGTAGGATGGAACTGGCATGGTAGAAAATGCTCCCACAAACTTTTCACGCACGTTAGTCACTTTGCCCGGGCAATTAGTCTTTACCATCCGTGAAATACCTGGCTGAGGATGATTGAGTAAAGACAATGTTAGATAGGGTATTGGAGGGTGTGCACTCGCTCCTTAGTAGCGGATAAACTTGTTTAGGACGAAGTCGATACCACTCTTGAAGTTCGTTCCATGGAGCTGCCATACTCGTCCTAAGCTCCGGCTCGGGCATTCTGTTGGATAGACTGAACGTTGCCAGATGATTATATTTTCGCAAATACAATGATAGCCAGGTTGCAGCAATTGTCAATATCTCCATCTGCCGCGGCTGGCACAATTGACATGTTGTCCATCCAGAAGTCGGTTGGGATTAGTGCAAAAAGCTGCCCAAATATCTAATCAACACAGCTGTTAATACCTAATGAGCCTTTAATTTGTATCTTTGTTAGGAGGGACAGCTTGCCAATTCGGGCAAATGCCCAAAAGCACGACTTCACGATGCCTCTACTCGGCCCATCCCATCCCTTCACTCGAAAAAGCCCAGCACATTCCTGTAGATGGCATTGATTAATATATGATATTCGATTAATACCAAACAAAGAGATAAGGCCGATACCAAAGGAAGTCAGAGCATATACCTTCAAGTGACACCTCCACTCGGACACTCCGGAAGCCATCATCTCCTGAACACACAGCAGAGTGCAAGTCGCTAGCACCGAGCATCCGCCATGGTAGGATCCTGGCCTAAGAGTAGTCGGATAGTATATTGATACAGTTCTAATGTTACCGAATGCTGACACTGTTCAATGTGGTCCAGTTGACGCGAGGCGAGGGACATGGCAGCTGCCACAAAGGTGGCAGGCTCCATCATGCCATGTATATTCTGCGCTGTGGATTGCCTTTGAGTATTTGTGGTCTCACACCGAGTTCCTGTTTTCCGCAGATAGGATGAAATCAATAGAGCTTTTTTGGTATCTGTCACTGGTGGTGAAGGCTCAGGGAGCAAGGATACACTGGAAGAGATCGCCTGGCCTAGGGAAAAAGGCAGAATATATGTCTGCGTTGTGGAATTTGTCGACGAGTAACACCATCTGGAGCCAACAAAGCAGACGAAGCAGAATCTTCAACGAAGGGGTTTGCAGAGACTTCAAGATCCTGTCTTTGAGAGAAAAGAACCTCAACACTAGATATGCCGCCGGCTAGCCTTGAAATAACGCCACGAGGGCGCCAGATGATTTCAGACAAACTAACATAGTTTGACTGAGGCCTGGAGAACGTGCGATTCTGGGAATATGTAGAGCAGTTTCTCTCATCCTGCACCTCACCAGTAAGTTTTACATCCCCATAATTATCCCAACTGCGGGTTTGAGTTGAGGGTGAACGCCGGGGTGTGTTATCGACGACGTGATAATCCCGAATAAATATCGTCCGTCTCATCAATGATCTAAAGCGCTTGTCAATCGTATGAGAAGATAGATGTTATGCATCAACCTATTTTGAGCAGCTGGCTAAGCTACCTAGTACACACGACGATACTGGCGGTTACAGTTACTCCCATTGATAAATTGGTAAGTCCAGCCGCCTCCAAGAGGCTCCACACCTACTACTAGTAGTGCCAATTGTTTATCATGGGGCTATGTCAACCACCACTGACACATAGGTATACTGGTCAGGTGTTGTTGTCGATATATAGAGAGAGCAAATGCTATGGATACAGATCATACGGTTTGGGTTTCTCTATTGCTGTTTAGCTTTATATCAGGATCAAATGCTCAAGTTCAAACATCGTTGGAGAACGAAGATAGTTCCTGACGTTATCTGTGGGGTTGCCCCTCTACTACTACTAGTACCTTCAATATACTCTCATGGCCAAGTCTCAGCGGCGCTTCCACTTGTATGTAATGGTCAAATTGTCTTCAGGGCATAATTTGCCAAAGATCTGAAGCGTCAGTGCTGCTGCGTAAGTATTTAAACCATGCTTAGCCTCGGCCCTCCGTGCGCCTCACCAGGTGTGCTGATTCAAACCAAATTGAAAATCCATTCCTGCTGGCCTTAATCCGACACTCTACATATTCATCGCACCAACATATTGTACAATGAGCACTCAGTACAGCTCATCCCTGGTCGTCCGCGTATCCGAAGGCCAACCACCGAAATTGGTTAGAGAATCAATTCCTGTTCCGTCACCAGGCCCTGGACAGGTGCTTGTTAAAGTGTCTCATGTAGCTCAAAACCCGACAGATGGTAGGAGCCCCTTCGCTTCGCCTACTCTTTTATCTCCATTCTAAGTAAGGCATAGGCTGATCCACCCCTAGTTCAATCTTTTGACAGCAATGCTTTTGGCGATGGAACCGTGCTGGGCTGTGATTTTGTCGGGGAAGTGGTTCAAGTTGGCGCGGGAGTAACGCGATTAACTAAAGGCGATATCGTAGCGGCATTGATCTGGGGAGGCGAGACCAAGTCCCTTGGTCTCGCCTCCCGAGAACTGTCTGGCTGACCAGCGAATTGCCTTTAAGGTGCCTACAACTCTCTCTCGTGAATATGCTAGTACAGTTCCCCTAGCTGCAGCCACTGCGTGGCTCGCATTATTCTCCCCAGATTGTCTCAATCTCGACCGTGCCAAAGCACAGGGTAAAAGTGTGCTGGTGTGGGGAGGTAGCAGTAAGGTTTCCTTTATCACTTCAGAGATTCCAATCGTCTAACGTTATCGGGTGTGAAACAGCCAGTGTCGGTCTGTATTCTATTCAAATCGCGTCTCTCTATGGGTTCGATGTGATCACTACCTGCAGTCCCCAAAATGCAGAACTAGTGCGATCATATGGTGCGAAATATGCTTTCGATTATAAGGATGAGGAGGTGGCGGAGGAGATTCGAAAAGCTGCCCCAAATATTTACCATGTTTTTGACACTGTTGGAGATCGAGGTTCATCCCTGACGGCTTCACGAGTGTTCGGTAGTCGTCAAGGATGCATCTGCACGGTGCGACCGGGCAAAGCAAATACTGAGGGTGTCTCCGAGAAAGCCCATGTTACAGACGTGTTGGTGTGGACGGCATTTCTCAAGGACCATAGCTATGGAAAGTTTCATTGGCCGGTAGGTAGTTGGCAGTCGTTTGCTGTGATAGCCAAAACTGAATTTCTTCCTATAGGCATCTGAAAAGGATCATGAGCTAGCGAGCGAACTGTTTGAGAAACTAGGTCCGTGGCTCGAGGAGGGCACGATCAAGCCAAATGTTACAAAGGTGCTTTCTGGATTGGACGCTGTTTCTGATGGTTTCCAGAGATATAGAGATGGGAAAATCTCAGCATATAAGATTGTCTATCAGATATGAAGCACGGCATCAATCGCAGCTCGACTACTTTGAGGGTAACTTGGGTCTCTAGAAATGACTCTAGAAATTTTGGACTATTCCGCTACAACTATCAATTCTCTTACAGTATCTTTAGCTATGAATGCATGCTCTATTCTCACTACTATTGATCTTAGTACGTTGGTGCAAGTTGACGGGAACAGTTGCAGATATATCTCCACACTAGCATGCTTCTATGTCCATAGCACTGCCAGTATGTCCAAGTGTTGACAAATTGATCGTCCAATAAGCAAATTACGTTCACACAGAGTCTAATAAATATAATGGTTATATCCAGGTTTGCCTATCGGCCCGCCAAATCAAACGGTGTCAACAATTAGATGGCCGAAATTGACCGCCAGATCCTGACCTTCGTTAGAAGGCTTCGCCGCGTATAGTCCCACCCAGAGGTCTTGGACGTTCTGCTCCTCGAAAAACCAAGTGACCTCACGGAGAGGATTCTTCTGCACGCCTTCAACTAAGTAGATCCACAGACTATTGTCTGACTCTCTGACGATCTCCAGCGTTGCTGCTCCACCACCTGATGGGACCGGTTGTAAACTCCAGTCCGCAAATCTATCCTTCGCAACGGTGCTCAAATGGGGTCTACCATGAGTGAGCTCGATGCCCGTCTTAACCCATCTCCGAGGACCATCTGCGCTGTTCAAAACAAGGATGAGTCCGCCCTGGTCGTATTTGTCTTTCCAGAAGGCATTGAAGGCAACCCTAGCCCGCTTGAATGAGTTCAACGGGACGCTCTGGTATAGGATCGGAGCGTTGAATCGTTCTGTGGATGGAGGTTTCGACCATACATCCGTTCCCGGAGAGGCTTTTATTGTGAATTCGGCAGGAAGGGTTCCATTACCAGGGACCTTTTCGTTAGAGTTGGCAAAGGCAAATGTTGACATAGTGGCTGTTATATTTTCTTTTATTTTTTTGTCTCCCAGATAACGTTTATGGTGCAGGGGGTAACAAGAAAATATGATGGGAACGTGACCCAGACGACGTTTACCCGAATATGAAACTTTAGAAGATGAGAAGAGAATCAAGGGCAAAGGTAAAGAGGAGGAAGAGGAAATATAAACCTCCGCATACGTCACTAGACGGTGGTGCTCCACAATTCCCCCAGTACAAACAGTACTTGACCATGACAGTCATGACTCTACGGCCGGTGGTGGGGTTTCTGACATACTCGCGTTCGGGGGGAATAGGAAGTGGGAATACGGAACATATCGGTGACATGTGGACGTTTCCTTTTCCTTTTTCTTCGTCTATAGATATAAGTGAAACAATCTTGGGGGGTTTGTCTAACTTCGTATCTCCTGCATGGGAGGTCCGAACGAACGCCGAAGTCAATTGTCGATGATGTGATCCATTGGTTGTTCTCCGCACCACCGATTTAAGCAAATGTCTTGGCGGTCCAGATCGGCTGACATAATCCTACTATCCTGTTTGGGAAGATAATAGCTTCAGCCTGGATTGTTAAGTTTTCTTTGATGCCTAGCCATAGAAGCGTGATTCTGTTATTGTTCGGCCCAACTACCTCAGGTATGGGCTGGTGAATGCTTCCATTCTTCATGTGACGATAGTTCGTCATGTCTTCTTCCCGACTACTTCATCCCGACGAGTATGAACTGGAAACTCGCTCATCCGTTGACTCCCAGGGGAGCTTCAACTTAGACGAGGCCGACTTTGAGTCGCAAGTTCCACCTCGACCCCGGCGACTCTTGCGCCGGGTGCCTTTTTTATCACGGGTTTTTGCTTCGACTTACTCTGGATACCGTCGTCTCAAAACCTCCCGGCCTTTGATCTCGGCTTCGGCGCGACCTAGCTGTTTCCGACGCATCCTGTTTCGTCGGGCCTGTTTCTACCTACATGCCGTCGTCGGTATCATTCTTGCTCTTCTTATCCTCACTGCAATCTTGCGGCCCTCATATACCCGGCATCCACCCCATTATACAGCACTTCGATCGACCGTCTCACATTCAAGCGCCTCTGGCCGGGGGAACCCTGGCAATGAAAAGGTTTTCATAGCTGTTAGCTTATATGATCGTGGCGGGAAGTTAGCGCAGGGACAATGGGGCTCTACTATTCTTCAACTTATCGACTTGCTTGGAGAGGATAATGTTTTCCTAAGTATCTATGAGAATGACAGCGGACCAGAGGGGGAGAGTGCGCTACGAGCCCTAGAAAAGCAGGTCGCAAGCAATAAGTCTATTATAATTGAAGAGCATTTCGACTTGAGCACCCTGCCTAGGGTGACTATTCCCGGGGGCTCTAAGCGCACTAAGCGTATCGATTATTTGGCTGAGGTCCGTAACCGAGCCTTACGGTCGCTGGAAGAGTCTAAAACGCAATACGACAAACTTTTATACATCAACGACGTTTTCTTCGATCCAGTCGATGCTCTCCATCTCTTGTTCTCTACTAATGTGGATGACGACGGTGTCGCTCAATACCGAGCAGCGTGCGCTGTTGACTTTTCTAACCCATTCAAGTTCTACGATACATATGCAACGCGTGATGTGCAGGGCTATGGCGTGGGCCTTCCGTTCTTCCCTTGGTTTACAACCGCTGGAGGAGGCCAGAGCCGACGGGATGTTTTAGCAGAAAAGGATGCAGTGCGAGTCCGCAGTTGCTGGGGAGGAATGGTGGCATTCGATGCACGATTCTTTCAAGGCAGTGCGAAGCCCGCAGTTGAAATGGGAGGAGAACAATTCCCTGTTCGTTTTCGTTCTGCGCCTGACTTGTTCTGGGAAGCTTCTGAATGCTGTCTCATCCATGCCGACATCGGTAAGCCGCCATCGAATGGGGATGAGATCGTGGACACTGGGATCTACATGAATCCCTTCGTACGCGTCGCATACGATGGCCGCACCCTATCTTGGTTGTGGACAACTCGACGGTTTGAAAAACTCTACTCTTTAATCCATAACATTGGTAGCCATCTTGCGGGTATGCCTTGGTTCAATCCTCGTCGATCAGAAGTTCGTGGTCAGGCGGTCGAGGAGACGGTCTGGGTACCGAACGGCAAAACCGATGGAGGTGGGTCTTTCCAGATAGTTACACGAATTCCTGGGAGTGACGGTTATTGTGGACGACGAGGGCTCCAAGTCATCGTCGAAGACCGCAAAGAGGGCCAGGACGGGTTCGAAAGTATACCGGTACCAACGTGAGCCTTTAACATGATCTTCTGCCGAAGAGAGTGACGTGCAAATCCTCTTTCTGGAATATGGAGTTACAACGACGAACTATTCTTGTGAAATACATTAATGATATCAGAGACGTACATAATGAATGGTCAGAAACTACTAGAATTCAGCAGTTTCCCTCATAATAGCCTGACGTTTGTATTGAATATCTGATTTAAAACTGAATTAGACCTATTGATTGTCTCAACAGGTGAGCTTGAAAGGCATTCATGTGTTTGTTAAACCACAGGCATTGCGTTACTTCCCTTGGATATTGTCATTGATCGATGTTGACTTAGAGAGCTTCTGCAGTTATTTACCTGTCATTTCTTCATTCACTATGTGGCTAAAACAATAGCAGATTGATGCCATCATTTCCAGGTCAGTAACAGATGCTTGCCTTGAACAACTCCTATAAACCCCCCCCCCCCTCGTCCTCTCCATTTCCCCCCTCTTCGTCGTCATTTCCTCTTCTTCTCTCATCACCAAGTCCCTTTCCAGGCTACAAGCACTAGTTATATGCCCATTTCCATTTGGCCCCCTTACTGTACATAGCATCATCATGCTGTACAATTTCCTATCACATATCCATCAAACCTTGCGCCTATTCAATCCTGTGGTCAGCGTCTTGTGCAAAATATTAGATACTCTCAAGCTCAAAATCATGATGGCAAGGCCGTTTCATTTCAGCTCAAATGTCACCAGCGTCATCCATAGTGTATTCGAGTCCTTCTTGGAGAGAAACGCTGCTCCTACCCTAGATGACAGTCGCCACGCTCCCTCAGCAGAGGATCAGGATATTGTGATCTCTACAAATAGCCCCTCCACGGTTTGTTTTCTTTTTCTCTCCCCTTCTCTCTCTGAACCACTCACTCACACTTTCTCCCTCTTACCTCTTCCTTTCTCTCTTTCCCCCCAGCAACCATCATCTCATTCTCCAGCGTACCGTTACTATTCTCCCTATCCAGCCTTGTTTAGTCTTGCCTTTTTCTGAGCTGACGTGTGGACCGATAACACAAAAACAGTCATCTGCTGCTGGCTACAAGACCCCTCCTGTCTTTCACACTCCAAGTCCTTCTCCCTCACTCCCATCTTCTTACCCCTCTAATATTAACGACTCACGCATTTCATCTGGTGAAAAGCCTCCCACTAAGATGTATCCTATCGCCGATGTCGATGACACGGCAGGGTTTATGGCCGCTGCTAGGGCTTTGAAGCTTGACCCAAACGCGTATAGGAAGGCATCCTCTGTTGTTGACGTGTCTGAAGACGCGTCCAGTGAACATGGCAGCCTCTCCAAGTCCCATGATGACGCCGCCAAGGATCCTACATCTACTGATGATTTTGTGCTCACCTCTACCCCCAAAGAGCCAAACACTCCTGGTAAGTCTCTGAACATGCTATGTATCTGAAACACAGCTCACACTCCTGCAGCTGAGTTTCAGGTTAAGAGCGATGCCGATTTTGCTGGTCCAGGAAATGACAGCACGCTCACCAGCTTTGTTGAACAGCCTGTGCCTCTCGGGGTCGCTGAGCAGTCCAGCACACCCGAGTTCGTCTCGGCTGACACCTTCGTTACCGCTTCTCATACTTCTGTCGAAAGAGAAGAGAGCCGTGAACACCAGACTACATTTGAGACCTGGGGTACTCCGGAGATCCGTGACAAGCCCGGTATACCATGATCTCCATCCTGCACTGACGATCTTTACTAACAGGCTCATTTCTTCAAGCTGCTCGCGTCAGACGGGTTTTCATCAGGGGCTTGCCCTCCACCTGGAAGACTCCTGCAAAGGTCCTATGCTTTATTCACGGCGGTACTATCGAGAGCATTTCTGTGACTCCTTCTGGCACTGCTCAAGTTCTGTTCTGTGAACACGAAGCGTGCAAAGCTTTCTACGATAAGTATCCCAACGGCATCGATCTTGATAAAGAAAAGAAGATCACTGTCTTTGTGGAAATGGGAAAAGAGGTCGACGTTGTCAGCTCTCAGCTGTCTTTCAGCCTGTCCACAGGCGCAACTCGTGTTGTCCGTGCTGTTGGTGTTGACCTTGATGTTACCATGCGCCAGCTCTCTGAATTGGCTACCGGCAACCATCGAAAGGTTGAAAAGATCCTGGACAGCTACGTTCCCGGCGAGGTAAGTACTCATTCCCCAGAAACGATGTTATATTGGGTATTAATCCATGTAGGCACGCAACGTCATATTCCGTTTCTGTAGCATCGATGATGCAGTTCGCTTCCGTGCCGTGCTTGTCCGTAACGAGTCCTGGGAACAGTGCAACATTCAGTATGCTGCTGATCCGTAAGTGTTTTGTCATAGCTAAAGTTGGGCCCTGGCTGATTTTACAATTAGATGCGAACTTGCTACCGGCTATCACACCAACTGAGTCGTTCAATCTATGGCATGGCTGGACAAGACTATCACATAACAGCTGTGGGAGGCGGCATAGTCATCTCACAACGTGTTCGGAGGATGTAGTATGTAGAAAACAAAAAAAAAAAAGTCAAATTGATAAGAGATAAGAAAAATCATGGGAATCATTTCGAGTTGAATGACGGATTTCATGTGTTCTAGCTTATCTGCAAATAGCATACAGAATAAGAGATTTCATTCCTCCGCAGTTCATGCTCAGAAAAAAAGGTGTCTACATATAGCATCCGGCTATGATCATGGTCCGCCATGGGGATTCAGTAAGTACCTTGGAGGCCTACCAGGAAAACCTGATCATGATCCATGATGGTCATGTACTATCAATGCAAGCCGGTCAATCAATAAGGCCCAACGCAGAAATCCGTTCGGCTCTTCATCCACCCATTGGCGACAATCTAAGGCGCTCGAACGTTGGACCAATAACTCGTACTGCAAGAAGTGTCATATCGAGTATAGAAAGTCGTGCTCGAGATCCTCAGCGTGGACATGGATCTATATAAACTGCTTATACTCCGTTACGTAGACTTGCACCTTGAGGCCTCATGAAAACGCTTATTTTTTGGAGAAGAATGCATAATCGACCGCAAAAACATGACAGGAGATACTAAATACCTAGGGTCTTGAGTTACCTATGATCATAACTTGCTACGAGCGGTGCGACCCCTGTCCCGTAACGTGCTAGAAGTAAATATGGCTCAAGGCTCTTACGTCTCAAGTCCGGATGTCAGCTACTCGAATGTTCTACTATATTCAATGGCCACGTAGACTTAGACGTAGGGCATTTTATTATTTCAATGGGGCGAGCAATATTTCTTATCTAAAGAATCAGAGTATATCAAGACTCCATGCTGATGAGCAAAATATATAATAGAGAAACTACTAGGAGGACAATACTCCACGAAGGCAACATAACTTGAACCACATACCATCACCACAGATTCAAATCAGAAAATATAGGTATACTACCTCGAATACACCTATAGCAGTGACCGACTGCGACGGTAACCGCCCAACCCCCAACACAATAGAAAATAGAAAAGGAAAAGAAAAAGCATATGGTAGATAAAGTGATCTCCATATAATACACCGACTATATGCGCACGTGTAAACATTCACATTAAGGTACAAGTTGCCCTGCCCTAATGCAGGAAAAAAAAAAAAAATTAAAATAAAATAAATAAACAAATAGGTTCAAGTTCAGCTTCATTTCGGCAAATGAAGAACAGCTGAGAAGAAAAAGCCGTTGGAGCTAAAGCAGTATCCGCAGACACTATCCCGAGAAAGGTGTTATACCACGAGAACGACGCTAGACTTGCGTTAGGATTTAATCTATCCCTCAGAGATCAACATGTCGAATGCCTCTATCGACGATGGGGAGTTGGGTGGAGAAATGGAGGATTCGCATATTCCGTGAGGAAATCGAATGAATAGTATTGTGTGATCTTCGTTAGTGGCTTGTTGAGCTGCAGAAAACATATGTATGCATGTCCATATATAGATCTCTGCTATGTATCATATGCCTGCGCTCGGCCAGTATTGGTGATTGGGGTGTTGAGATGGTGCAATTGGGGGATCTCATGTTGTCCAGCACTACCTGGTTACGTCCCCAAAGGGCACAGTAGCTTTTTGAAGGTGTATGTCTCTGTTCAACAAATTCTTGGTTATACTTCAGGGTAGGCTTATGTACAGTACCAAGATCAATACCCACACAGAGTACCGTACAGAACATGACATGACCATGACAAAATACAAGCCGAGATTAAAATATCAAGCTCGGCCTTCAAACAAGCTCGCCGGCCGAGATTAGACCTGATCTCATAATGATAGCATAATACCCAGTTTCCAACAAAGAAAATAGAAGATCATAGTCTAGAATGGTCAAACGACCCACTCTAAGCTCGCACATATACGCGGTGAACTAAGTCCTAAACAAGACACGAGAATTCGAGCTTGATACTAGTCCTTGCTCCACGGAAGAGGCGAAACGGGAGGAACAAAACAAAAGCCAGAAGGTCCGAGTAACCCCGACATACGGAGGAAAGGTGAGAGTGGGAGCGGGGAATTCATCCGCAATTCCCGATCTACCCTGGTTAGCGTGGAGAAATAGTCAAGTAAACTTCATGGAGCCTCCAGGTACCTGTACATACTACACTAAGCACTGCGCCAGTGGAGGTAGGTACCTATACGAATTACGTTTCACACATTCCCTGTACGGAAATCGCTCGAGTCTGCAGAGTTGGCTGTTGAAGTCTAAAGTTTCGACAGGAACTGAAGATGGATCCATCTCGGCTAGCATCTCCTCTGTGAGTAAAACGGACGAAGGCAAAAGGAAGGCGACCGAATTGGTTGCGGTGGGGGCCAATTCCGATGCAAAATTGACCCTTCGTACCATATTAGTACCATGTCAAAATAGACGAACAGACCATTTGAAGATCGCAAAAACGCGCCAAGCCCAAGGCTTGAGCTTTTTGTCTGGAACTCCACCCTGAGGAGGGGCGAGCATGTGGAAGTTTAATTTTTTAATTTTTTTGCTATCATCAGTATCCATTTGCCTACTTGAGTTATTCAAAAGAAATCTAGGAATTTTGATTCATGACGGATGGAACTCGGAGGGAGCACCCTCGTACACGACTGGCAAGATTTGTCTTCGTGCCGTGGAGACCATGGCATTCTGTGGATACAACTTCAATGTTCAATCAAGTCACTGGTATGGGTTTTAGATACGGAGATCGCCGATGGGTGTGAAGAAACAAAGAGTTTGACATAGTGGAGTTCGAGAAGGAAAACGCTTCGCACTATTGATAGCAGAACATCAACCCATAATTCCGAGGAGATCCATGGATATCGAGGCGGGTTCGTTCCAGTTTACTTTTCCCAAGCAGAATGAGTGGCTATATCAGAGCATAATATTACTCACCCAACGCCAACAATCTTATTCTACTAAGGCCAAAAGAACAAGTGAAAATTAAATCAAGGTACGGAGTCAAAAAGGAATAAAACAACGAAAACACAAATACATATAACAAGGGAGAGGGGCACGAGGGAAAGATATTCCCTGTTCTTACCAAAATTCACTCCCCTGTCGAATGCCACCTTAGTATTTTCTAGAAAAAAAACTAATGATACAAGGTAGAAGAAGGAGCATAAAGATTCGGAAACCCCCAAACAGGCAATGACTTAAAATGGTCTAGCACTCTCTTCTTAGCCCTCCCATTGATTGCCTCAGTCCCAGTCCACCGGCAGGCGTATTAGTTCTGGTGATGCGCCCACCGGCTGATTCTCGCGTTGAATACCACCATGGACCCGACAGTCTGGTAGAGGGTGTCGTAGTTGGGCATTAGTTGGCAACTCTCAGCATGTTCCGTCCAGCTGAGGTCGTAACCTGTCCAGGGTTGGCGCTGTACATGTACTCTTACGGTAACCTTGCTGGCTCCATGGGTACGCGTCCCATTTCTAATTCAGTTTCTCTCAAGAGTAAATAAGTGCGAGCAATATAGGTAAACATAGGATAATCCCCCACTTTCCCCTCCCCTTTCCCCATAACACGAGTAGAGTGACAAAGTACGAAGATCCTTCCTATGTACTGGATAATTAAAGTAAAACATCAAGTGACATTCCTTAGGTAAGTGAGACAGCAGAATCGAATCTCACATTATCTTTCTGCGGAGCCTTGTCGATCGAAACGGTCTGAAGACACCATTTTCGTTTTGATTTTTTACCCCTAACCTGTTGAACTTTTTAATTTTTGTTTTGTTTTATTTTGTTTTGTTTTTGTTTTTTTACCTTTCGTTTACTTAAAATAAATCTTCCTGAATTTGAAATCTCGCATTACAGTACCGTACGACCATTGTATTAAGTTGTCCATTCATGCGAGAACGGGAGCCGTCAAAGTCAAAGCTTCTGTCATGGGGTTGTCGGTAAAGTGTCCCATTTTTTTATTTAGTTATTTTATTTAATTTTTTTTGACACCACAACAAGAATAGTAACCTGAACTAATCTTCAAAAAAAACTAATCATTGGACAAGAGAAACAACTGCCAAATAGTTCAAAACAGAAAAAAAGGCCAACAATAGTGACACTAGTGGACTTCATTAATTCATTCCCTAGGCAGAATAGATATGGTGGTCCTGAAAGAGGGGCCAGAAGCAACCGCGCGCCGACCTTATGTACAACGACTGTGCCACATCCCAACGAGGTAGACTAGATGTCAATCAATATCAAGCCAGGACGACCGATTGGATCCAACGTGACTAGGGGTCTCAACGCATCCTATCTATATGATAGCAAATTATGAATATCATTGTTAGCGAGTTCTATTTCTGATACCGAGAATGCTGTGCAGCGTTGCATCGAGACTTGCACCTTTTGACATGCACCCGAACTGTAAGGCATGAGGCCGCGTTCCCCTTTCCGAGAGTCCCTTGTTTTGTTCGAGACAGGAGGTGAGCCGCTGGCGTCTAGTAGTACTGTTCGGGTGAACTTCTACCGGGAAAAGGTACGGATGATGACTGAGTTTTGAGGCGACTTCGCCCCACGTGTTGGGCGCAGGGGTCACAAACAGAATGACAGGAAAAGAGCAAAAAGCAATTTAACCTGACCAACATGGCTCCATACATAAGGTACAGAGGCGAACAAAAAAGAAATCGTGTATTGACACTCTCAAAAATGGTAGCCTGGAGCTACTACCAATAGACGTATTTCCAATGGTTATTTCTCCTTGTTGCTTGCTAATATTAAATGAATCGCCAATCATTGAATGAGATGATGCGATAGTTTGGATGCAATCCAGCCGATAGGTCCGTAGGGGATAAGGTTCGAAGCTACTGACCATGGTCATAATAAATTCAAATATATAGACTATGACCGTGCTCCTTTTTCCACTTCCTTCTGTTCCGTACCGTGGAAAGTCGGCATACGGCGAAGGCCAAAATCCGAAAGAGTCGAGTGACCCACACT